CAAGACTTGGTAAAATAGACAACGCACAAAATTATCATAATAATTATGCCAAGAAAATAATAACAATACAAATATTGTAGAAACACTAGAAGTAATTGTATGTCTTTACTTATTACATTATATCAAACAATTTTATATTGAATAAAAAAGATAACAAACAACATTGGTAAATTATATCATCATATTACATCTTCATTATAATTCATATATTGTAGAATACTCAGTAAAATGAAAAAAGCAAAAATGAACATCATAATTATGCCAAGAAAATAATAATAGTACAAATATTGTACAAAACCTAATAATAATTTGATATGTCTCACTGGCATCTTGACATCACATCATTGTGATGATTTATCCGCCTTCATTTTTTTTTTGAATTCTTTAATCTACCACGAATATTGTACAAAACCTAATAATGATTTATCCGCCTTCATTTTTTTTTGAATCCTTTAATCTACCATACAACCAACTATATATATATATATATATATATATATATATATATATATATATATATAGAGAGAGAGAGAGAGAGAGAGAGAGAGAGCTAGATTCAGGTGTTTAAACTAATTATTGTGTTATTGTATGCATAAATCTGGACCAATCAATATTAAATAAAAATTAAATAATTAAATAAATAAATAAGAGTAATAAAGTAATTTTGTAAATAACTTCTACAAATACTTCTTGTATTATGCTAGTTATTTTGACTTTGACCTAATTTCTTCTCATTCTTAAATACGACGTTCATTATCAAAAACCCTATTCCACCATAAAAATCTTCCATCAATGACCATCCCCTCGATTTACAACAACGCCTCACCACTTCCACCGATCCCCATCAACAATATTCTTTGTACCAAATATCATCATCGCCATCGTTCATAATCTCATATAATAGAGGAAGGTCGGAGCTGGCTTCTATTGTCCACTAAATTGTTGCACGCTGCTCTTTTTCACACACTCACCCCTCAATTCTCTATTTCATCTGTACGATTTATCTCCACAGTCGGCATGGCGTCGATCGACGTTTGAGGCGCCGGTGGCTGGCCGTCCTTCCTCATCAGATCTTTCATCAGGGATTCGAAACCAGTAATAGCGCCACCTATGATCACCACCATTCCTTGCGTCACCGGGTTGACCAGGATGATCCTGTCTAGTGACGAACCCTGATGATGAAGACTGTTTGTAGATTCGTGATCTGGATGTTCGGAATCGCGACTTGAATCCGATTCCGGCCTGGTAGTTGTGAAGTCTGAAAGGAAAGGCATCTCCATGAGCCTCTCGATCAAACGAGATACTAATAACTCTGGTTCTAAAGCCATTTGAGCACAAATTTGTATTGTTTAGTGGGTGTTTGAGTGTTTCTGCTACTAGATCAAAATTGAAATGAACAGTAGAAGTGGAAGTTGAATTTGAAATGGGTAATTTTTTGGGAGAGCTTAAAAACGAAGGGGAAGAAGGGTGTAGAAGGCTCTCGAATGTTGTGTTCATACATGTTTTTTTTGCTATAATACGCCAAGGGGTTTCGTTAATGCGTTGGATAAGATGAATGATGATATTTTTGTTGGAGTAATCCAGTGTGGTGGCGTGCTGTTGGTAAAAATAAAGGTGATGTGGAGGAGGCAATTACCATGGTAGGTTTATTTCAGATGACATAAATTTATAATCACAATCCATATTTTTTCCTTTGAATTAAGTTGCTAAAAATGTTCATTTTTTATGTTTCTGATTAGGTTGAAGCTTTATGAGGTCAATTGACACAAAGGGAAGGAGAGTTGGTTCAAGAAAAGGCTGAGGTTAAGAAGCTTGCAAGTTTTCTAAAGCAAGTTATTTTGACCACTGTAATTGTTTGCACTTTACTTAATGCTTTTTAATTATTGAAAGCTTTTTATCATATTTTATTATGTTATGATAATGTTGTGCAAGACTATCCATTGTGTGGGTTCCTAGAAAGACATATTGAAATAGATGGATTTGATGTTTTATTTTAATATGTTCAATTTGAAAGCGTTTGCAGGCTTTGACAAAAACGAGGCTTATAAGGTAGTTCCAATTTGTTTGGCTGCATTTTATGAATTGATTCATATTTCAATTTATGTTTTTTTTTTATTTATTTATGATTTAACACATCATTTATGTGGACAGTGCAGGATCTTGACAAGGTTGAATTCTGAAAAGGTATCAAGTATGTTTATGTAGATGATTCAATGGATAATATTAGTGAGATTCCAATTCTATTGGAATGGAATCACGTATTCCAATTCTTTGGAATGGAATCATGAATTCCTATTCTTTTGAAATCACAGAAGTTGATGCTTGAAGAACCGACCACAAAATTAAAACGAACCCCATTATTCATTTAGAATGTATTAGTCGTTGTTAGATTTTGATGTTTTCTTTTCCATTTTGAAAGTTTTTTTATTTTTATTCTTTAACAATAAATATAATTCTTAACAATTTTCACCCGTATTCTATAAGAAATAATGTATTTTTTGTTTTTATTCTTCAATTTATTATTCAAGAATTTATTATTCTACAAGAAGTGTTTAAATTCATGATCAAGAATTAGGTTCAAGAATATTTTTATTATTTACGGTTGAAGAATATTTTTATTATTTATGGTTGAAGAATATTTTTATTTTTGAGTAAATAATTGAATAAATAAACATATTCTGTCAGAATGACCGAATTAAATTAGTTATAATTCAAGAATTTATTATTCTACAAGAATTGTTTAAATTCATGATCAAGAATTAGGTTCAAGAATATTTTTATTATTTATGGTTGAAGAATATTTTTATTATTTATGGTTGAAGAATATTTTTATTTTTTGAGTAAATAATTGAATAAATAAATATATTCTGTCAGAATGTCCGAATTAAATTAGTTATAATTCGTAAAATCAGATTTTTAAAATTAATAGAATCTATGATCCCTTAAAATATGCAATTTTTCTTTATTAAATCTATATTAATTGACTAAAATACCCTTGTAATTAAATTAGATGATATTTTTCAATTACATTTAATTCATTAATATATATTAATCACTTTCTTAAAATAAGTAAAATTGATTGACCCACAGTTATGCATACAATAACACAATAATTATTTTGAATAGAATAACTTACGCATATATATATATATATATATATATATATATATATATATATATATATATATATATATATATATATATATATATATATATATATGAGAGACTGCAAATTTTATTGAAAAACTATAGATTTGGAACCATCATTCCCACTTTTTCTAGAAAACCATTAAATCTATTTTCGCATAATAATCTTGGATTAGTCGGACTCCTGGATGCTTATCAGAAACTGCAAATTTCATTGAAAGGCTATAGATTTGGAACCATCATTCGCACTTTTCTAGAAAATCATTAAATTTGTTTTGGCATAATGCCTTAGTAAAGACATCAAAAATTCCAACGCCGGATGGAAAAAATGAGCTATATGTTTTCATTAATGAGGTGATCTATAATAAAATGATACAAAATATCAATGACTTTAGTCATCAAGTTCTAGATCAGATTATGTGAAATGGTGATAGAATTTGAAGAGTCATAATAGATATGATTTTTCTTTAATCGGAAAGCACGAGACAATAATTGGGACTTCATGTATAGGACTTGTGAACCACAGATAGCTACAACAATGTATTCAGCTTCGCTCGCTCGATGAGAGGGTTATAGACATTTGTTTCTTGGATGACCATCTCACCAACCTATTACCAAGGATTTGACATCCTCAGGAGGTAATTTTCATGTCCACTTGTAAACCATCATAATTTGAGTCTATGTAAGCTTGAAGTAGGAAATTGTGGCTAAAAGGATACCAAATTCCTAGCGACTTAGTGTCACGAAGATATCAAAAGATTTGTTTCACTGCAAAAAAATGAGGACTCTTTTGATCATCTTGGAATCAAGCACAAAGACAAGTTAAAAACATGATATTTGGTTGACTTGTAGTAAGTAGAGTACAGATCTAATCACGCCATAGTATTTCTTTTGTTCAATAGGTATAAGATATGGTATGATTAAATAGAAATGTGAGTACCCTCTGATCTATTATCTTGGTAGTTAGCCATGATCATTAATTTATAAGATTTTTTATTTGATTATCTGTTTGAATCACACTTATCATAAATTTCATTTGCATTCTTTCTTTTAAGGTTGCTTAATAATTAGATTTAACAATGGAAGTATATATCTATACCTTAGATGTTCGACACACTTACTTACCTAACCTATGTTATTCATGATCAAGTACACTTCCTTCCTGGTCTAGATAGTTTCAGTTTGGTTTGTCGGCTTTTAAAATTTTAAAACTAGATATGCATTTAGCGTTTATAGAATCAAGTTCTGTTGTCAATATCCGATGGAATTGTTTTCAATTTATTTCATTTATATTTTATAGCCTATCTTCTAAACATCAAGATTTTACACAACATGATGGAATCTATACTTGTGAACCATTCAATAATTTAGTAAGATGCTTCATTTCATGACCATGAATAGCTTAGTTTGCTTGTTTTGTTAGTCTTCAAGTGTTTTTCTTTTCCAAAACTGAAAACATGGTAGAGTTTTTTTTTTTTTTTATTTATTTATTTTTATTTATTTTTTTATAACGTGTTTTGGTAATTTGATTAGTTCATTTCAATGATAAAATAACTTGAGTACAATTAATGTTTTAGTAACAATAAAACAAAGGGAAAGATATATGATGGATTTGATAAATCATACACGTTGTGCAGTAGATGAAATACTATTATTTTTATATAATTTGACTATTTGAGACGCAAGACTATTAGTTCACATATAAGCTACCTAATTAAATTAGTATCGACTTAAATTCTTGTTCATTTATATCACTACATGATCAAAATAGTGCGCACTTCATTCTCTATATAATGGTTATTACGTTATCATTTGTTGTAAGACATCTATACAAATTAACAAAAGGCTATAGGATGGCATTTCGTCCATTTATAATATCTTTTGGGGTTTTTATTTTCACAATTCACAATATTTGTGGTAGAGAGCTTGTTGGAGAGTGGAAGAAATCTCTTAAACCTGGTCAGGGTACTAGTAGCATTGGTTTCTCCACGAGATGCATAGCATGTGGACGAGGACATGAGAATATTATAAAAAATAAACTTGAAGAAAAACATGGAGGAATGTTTGACAAAGGTATCAAACACAACTACATTGTTAATACTAGAGAAAATGTAGATGGTTCAAATAACACTGACAGCAATAATGGAAAAAACAACATGATCGGAAGTGGAAGCAACAATGCTGGCATCAATGGAAGCAGAAACACAAATGGCTCTTATCACCTCCCTGGTAGCGGCAATAATGGTCCCATCATCGTTTCTGTTGGAAACCAAAACGGAAATGGAAATGATAATATCAGTACAGGATCAGGAGATGGAGAAGATATTGGTCGGAAGTGATGATCTTCATTTATATATGCAACTTTTAGAATAACATGGGAGCAAACATCTTACTACGCGTATATACTTTTAGGTAAACATACAAGGATGAACGTTATATGTAAGATTGATGTTTTATATGTCCTTATTTATTACATATGTATGGAGTTAATAAATGAATAAATGATCTAATATCTCCGTTCCTAGTCATATTTTTATGTATTGACCTTAAAAAGAAAATTATAAACTTTTTTTTAGAATGGAAAACACACACCCATTACATCTTAGTCTTAAATTGCACATTTGTCCATAATAGGACTTAGACCCTCAAACCCTTAAAAGAGAAACACATTGTCAAATACATTGATACCGCTAGGCTAAAAGTCCAATCCATAAATCTTTTGGATCTCTGAAATCACATTTCTATAAAATTTCAATAATCCAAGCAAGATAACAAATATAACTAGGCGAATATGTGTGTGTTGTGCAGAACAAAACTGTACATTTAAACTCTGGCAAATACATATTGAAAATAACTATATTATTGATGTTGAATATGGAATAATAAAATTTTTAACAACTATGTTATATAAAATTGTAATGATTTTGAATCATATTATAACATCTATTAAAACCATATAATTTAATAGCCGCTACTCGTGGTTGAAATGTAAATAAATCTAAATATGATTATGAATTTAGTTTTATATTTAAAAAAATGTTAATGTTTTAAATATTTTAAAAAAGTAGTCTGCAAATATTTTGAAGTTTATTTGATAGTTTTATTTACTTTTTTGGTTTAGTATGATATTTAAATGATATTTTGATTTAAATTTTGGATTTAACATGATAGTTAAATTAACATTTTAAGTGTATTATATTGATAATTTAAAAAATCTAACAATAATATTATAATATTTCATATTTAATAACATTTTTAAATTAATAATTACTTATATTATGTTGAAATCTGAAAAGTTTTGATGTTTCAAACTCATGTGGTGTAAATAAAAATGGTATGTTTGATAGTACACCAGGTGACTCCGGTTTTGTTGTGCATGAATATATTAATATGGACAGTAATAAATATATATCGTAAAAAGTATTTAAATCAATGTCATTAGCTATGAAATAAATAAATTGCAAAAATAGTTTTTATTGTAGAAATGTACTACTTAAATTCATATATGATATATATGATAATATATGTTTAACACTAAAATTAAAATAAAATAATATGAATGATACTTGTGATAATTAAATTAAGACAAAACTACAAAAATGGTCCCTGTGGTTTCTTATTTTATGTGGTTACGGTCCAAACGTTTGAAAAGTTGCAGATTTGGTCGTTTTCAACAAGTTTTGTTGTGGTTTTGGTCCGTCATCCGTTAAGTTCCTTAAAATGACAATTTTACCCCAGAGACCATTTTCACAGTTTTGTCTCATTATAAACTAGATGAAATGAAAGTGTTTGGCAGCAATCCTAACGATTTCGATGATGAGAGACGACGATTTTGCGTATCCCATGACTTCGTTGTGGAACAAATAAAATTAACAAGAACTATTATTATAATCCGATAAAATAATATTTAGTATATGAAGAAAATAATAAATTATAAGTAATAATCCAATAAAAATAAGCTTAAAAAAAAGAAATTACAAAAATTAACTAAAAGATAATAATAATCCAATAATATAATATTTATTATGATGTAAATATTATATATTAAAAACTATATGTATTCATATATCATAATTCAATAAAAAATAATTACTTTGACAATTTTTTTTAAAAAAAGAATTAACTAAAATAAATTAATAATCCAATAAAACAATATTTAGTATATGAAGAAAATAATAAATTAAAAAAATAAAAGAAATAATCCAATAAAAATAATTTAAAAAAAAGAATTAAAAATATCTACTAAACGAAATTAATAATCCAATAATATCATATTTATTATGATATAAATATTATATATTAAAAACCATATGTATTGATATAATAGCTCAATAAAAAAATTACTCTAACAAAAAAAATAATAAAAAAATCAACTATAATAAATTAATAATCCAATAAAAAATATTTATTAAAATAAAATAATATATATTAAAAATAATATTTATTAATATATAACACTTCCATAAAATAAAAAAGAATGTGTGCAAAAATGGTTCTTATGGTATGGTAAAAGACAAAACTGCGAAAATGGTCCCTGAGGGTAAAATTATCATTTTAAAAAAGTTAACAGCCAACCAGTTAAACTTAACGGATAAGGGACCGAAACCACAATAAAACTTGTTGAAAAGGACCAAATCTGCAACTTTTCAAACGTTTGGACCATAACCACATAAAATAAGAAACCACGGGGACCATTTTTGCAATTTTGTCTTAAATTAATATTTTAATCAAGACTAAACTGCATCAATGGTCCCTGTGGTTTGCTAAAAAATGCGACTTTGGTCCAAAAAGGTTTTAACTAGCACCAGAGGTCCAAAGTTTTCATTTTGTTGCTTGTTTGGTCCAATCTGTTTTGGGTTTTTTCAAAATGACGGATTTGCCCCTGTTAATATGATTTTCTCTTTTTTCTTAATTGTTTTTCTGATTTTCAGATTTAAAAAAAAATAAAAAATAAAATAAAAAAATCTCTCTCCCTCTCTCTCTCTCTCTCTCTCTCTCTCTCTCTCTCTCCTTCTTCATTTGTTCTTCATGGTTCTCAAGAACCCCTCATCGTCGACTCCACCGTTAGCCTCAATCGCCTTCAGCTCCACCTTCAGCCCCTATCATCTCTGCCACCACCGTCCAGTTGTAAACACTTGCTTCGATCTCGTCGCCAACGTTTATATCTGTAAACCTTCGTTTTTTTTGCAAAGCTTTTCGAAGGATTTGTTTGTCATCTTGATAATTAGTGAAGTTTGATGGGCACTGTAATCAACAACATCATCATCAGAATAAGTCAACACCCAGATTGAAGCTAAAATCTCTAATGATATGATCAAACAAACAACATCAAATGACTTTAGATCCTCCTCAGTAGTCTTATAATCAGTTTTCCAGAAAATGATCAAAGTCCAGTTTAGAGCCATCAAAGTGTTCTTCAGATTTTACACCATCTATCTCTCTTCTTGATTTATATACAAACATACGAAGATGAACATGATGAAGACCTGGGAACCCAATGAAGATTTGAACTAACATCAACACACATACACCCACAACAACTAATCTAAGTTTTTCATAAACATATGAAGCTCAAACCAAACTCAGATTTAATAAGGTAAACATAAATCGACACACAAACACTCAAAAACACATGAACAATCAGATTTGTAAAGCAATAATAACAATCATATTTATAAACCCACAAGAACACCTGATTACAGGATTTGTAGAGTCACAAGAACTAATTACCTGATTTGTAAAACCCTAGCCTTCTCATCCAAGACTTCCTTTATTCCTCCCTTATCACAATCCCTAACAGCTGGAAATGTAAAAGATAAAAAAAGAGATAAAATAAGGGGTTTTGATTCTTTGTAAGTCACAATCCCAAACACCCCTCCCTTCGCCCACAGTTGAATCGTTCGTAAGCACCTCCTCCAACTACTATTCCTTCGTCATCTGATCTATTCCGATTCTTTGTAAGTCACTATTACAGAGAGATGATTCGAGGAGCTTCACAAATTAGGGTTTCAGTTGCCGCCCTTCGGGTTTCTACACACACACACACACACACACACACACACACATATATATATATATATATATATATATATATATATGTTCATTCGTTACATTATATCGAACTATTTTTTACGAAATAAAAAAGATAACACACAACATTCGTAAAATTTATCATCATATTACATCTTTATTACAATTCATATATTCTAGAAGACTCGGTAAAATAGAAAATGCAAAAAAGAACATCATAATTATGCCATGAAATAATAATAGTACAAATATTGTAGAAAACTTGAAAATAATGGTATATGTCTCACTTGCATCATGACATCATATCATTCTAATAATTTATCCACCTACAATTTTTTTGTTGAATTCTTATAATCTACCACACACACATACACAAGGCAAAAGGATCTGCAATGGTTTCATTGGAGGATCTTGTGTCCGAGGTGAAAATTTTTGATTTCTTGTCATGTTGATCTTCATCATCATTTGGTTTTGTAGTCTTAGAATCATCAAGTGCATCACCTTGATTTTTGGTTTAAAAATAGTGTCATCCGATGTAGCAATAAACACTGAAGAAGAAACTGTACGAGGGGAGCCAGTTTTCTTGGATTGGTCTCAACAATAGCATTTTTCACACAAGTATTGACATATGTGTTCTAAACACCCGAACTAATAGGAATAGATGGCCTCTTAAGACTCTTAAATTGTATGAAGGTATTATGATTCATAATAGCTGGAATATTGAGATAAATAATGTTGTGCCAATTGTTTTGTACTACAACAGTCCACATTGTAACGGGTTGGGTCTGTCCACCCGAATGTTGATGCTATTAGGATTAGACTATTTATAGTACATACATGCACACGCTTTAGGGTTAACAAGTTGTATCGCCCTACATCACCTTTACGAAGAAGTTCATGTTGAACTCTTCTAAGGCTTTGATAATATTAGTCATTCAACACTTTTTTATCAATTGTTCTTATTGTTTGATTAGCATTACTATTTTGAATCTATCGATCATTAGTTTATTGTTTCAACAATTAGTATCAGAGCAGGAGATTGTGTAATACATATGCATATCTTTTGTCCAGTGTATTAGGGTTTTGAGTATTTGTAAGATCCGTTCTTGTCATCTTCATCCTTCTTATTGATTGTAGACGGTAGATCTGGTTTGCTGTTAAGCCCTAAACTCGATCTTTAGTTTTTACACATCTGATTCAAAACAGGGTTTTGTGAATCGACAATATGCAACCCGAAGATCCTCACATTCTTTCCTTTAACTTGTCCAACAGCATAACATCAACTATGAGAATCCCAATCCTTTTTCTA